AATAAGATAAAGAATCACAATTGTCCCTTATTTTCCATTTCTTATGTTAATTGGCAATGATGACGTGATTATCTGTTGACTCCCCTGACAGCAGAACCTTGCTCAAAACAAAAAAAAAAGTAATTGTTGGAGATATGCGAGCAAAAAATAATAGATAAAAAATGTATAATAGAAAGCGCAAAGGCGGCACTGAAAAGGCCAGTAAAAAAAAAAAAAAAAAAACAACAAAGGGGGCCGGTCTGGCATTAAACTCCAGGGCTGAAAATGAGTCCCACTCCGGCCCTGATATGAGCTGACTGACGTTGCTTGGTAACCTTTCTTGGGCGTCCAGTTGCGTAACCTAAGTAATATTCAAGAGTCAGCCCTGCGTTATCAAGGGTTCATCAATTCAGCTGACTGGGGACCGCTTACGGTCGTTCTGCCGTTTAGCCAATCAGTTACGCCTACTGGCCTGACGACACATTACCTAATTAATATTCATGAACCAAGCCCTGACCATAGTAGGAATGTTAAATTCTCATCCCGGAAGTTTGTGGCTTTGGCGCACCACCGCCGCCTCCGCAGATGACACACGCAGAGGAGGAGGTGACGGGGATTAGAGACGAGCCTCATCATTAAACGATCATATTGGGAAAAATGGGAAATACAGACTCAAAGCTAAATTTCAGGAAGGCGGTGATCCAGCTGACCACAAAAACGCAGGTTCGTGTCTTTGGTGCCGTTCGAGGCTGTTGTTAGGAGCGCGTGTGTGTTTCCAGATGGAGACTGCGCCGACCAGACCTCTGCAGCACCTCACAGACACACAGAGCACACATAATCAATGAAATAAAACCTTACTTTAGCTTTCATAGATGTGCGTATGGGTGCGCTGATCGCTGGTATTTATATCAGATTAACGAAGCTCACATGTGCCCATAATAAGACAGGTGTCGTGTTTATCTGCATTATGTAAATATCTGCTTTATTTTGCTCATTTATATGGAAATTCCTCTTTTTTTTTATTTTTTTTTTTACGAATTTTAATGTTATCGTAATAATTTATTATATATTACTTACTTACTAAATTATTCTTTTTTTTTATCTAAGTAGGAATGCAATAACCGCTAAACATTTTTAAAACAAGATACATTTAAAAAGAGCTAAACTGCATGAGAGAACATATCTTCAGTATAACCGTATTTTATTTCCTTTCAGTTGTTTTAAGCATAAACCTCTCTAAATAAATGTAAACTAAAGTTGAATATCTTATTTTATACCATTTATTTTAGGGTTTTTTGTTTTTTTGTTTCCTTGCTTGCTTGTTTTTGTTGAAAACATCAAATGAAAAGATGAGGTATCTTAGATCCCGCCCCTACTGACGTGAAGTCTTTTGTTTTTTAATTGTCAAGTCATCCAAAAATAATTTAATAATACGTGTATAAGGGTAGTTGATAAATAAAATGGAATATTTTATTTAAAAAATAATCGATGTAGTCTCAAAAATGCATGTATTATATAAAAATCAGTAAAATGTAGTTTAAAACAGTTTTTCGAGGATAATACCATGTCACACCACAGGATGCTGCTGCTGTCACTACTTTTTAAACAGGATTTGAACTGGGGATCTGAAATGATTAGCTGTTTCTTGTTCTCTGCATGGTCAACATGATTGCATTGTTATTTTTAACTGTTAATTAAATATTGATGTGATTTATGAATTCAGTGATTGGATCAGCCCAGCTGTTGCTTCAGTCTGGTGTGTGTTAAAGGGATTTACGTATGCATTAAACCAGGGCTGCCCAAACTCGGTCCTGGAGGGCCGGTGTCCTGCAGAGTTTAGCTCCAACTTGCCTCAACACACCTGCCTTTAAGTTTCTAGTATGCCTAGTAAGAGCTTGATTAGCTGGTTCAGGTGTGTTTAATTGGGGTTGGAGCTAAACTCTTCAGGACACCGGCCCTCTCCAGGACCGAGTTTGGACACCCCTGCATTAAACCTTATCCTCCTCACCCACCCCTAGCCTGTGGAAGCCACAGATGACGCGTTCTGGGATCAGTTCTGGGCTGATACTGCTACCACCGTTCAGGATGTGTTTGCCCTGCTGCCCGCCGCTGAGATCCGAGCCGTCCGGGAGGAATCGCCCTCCAATCTGGCAACATTGTGTTACAAGGTAGCGTTCATCTGTGCCGAAATAGATCCTGTTGTGACATACGTGTAGCATTAACATTCAGTCATTAGAGAAAGTGCCTCATCAATAACATATGCAGTGATTGTGTGAGTTTAAAGTTGTTGGTGGGACAGAAAAGCAGCTGGCGCTTTCCCCTTCCTGTCTCAAACCCTGGGCTTCCTGTTTGAGGCTGCCCATCAGAACGAAAGCATGATTAGAAATCTTCATAGTCTTCAGACGCACATCCTGCCAGAGGAGTGTACAACAGAGAGAAAGAGAGAGAGAAACGTGTTGCTTTACTGTGTACTGAAGGAATAAAAGCATGACATCAGACCATAAGTAAAGAGATTTTATTGTTTAACTATTTAAAAATGATTTAACTTGTATGCACATGTACTCTGTTTAGTTTCACAATGGCCCCAAATGTATTTCACACTTATCTAAATGTCTGAATAACAAAAGATAACAAAGCACATCAAAGGCTATGTGATTTATTTGAAAGCAAAATAGGATACTTTTCATACAAAACATTTCAGAAAAAGAAGTTTTATAGAGATATGATTTAGTATACACTACCATTCATAAGTGTGGGGTCAGTATGTTTTTATATATATATACTGTATATACTTTGTACTGTATATACTTTGTACTTTATTCATACTTTATACTTTTATTCAGCAAGGACACATTAAATGGATCAAAAGTGACATTAAAGACACTTATAAAGTTACAAAAGATTTATTTTTCAAATAAGTGCTTTGTTTTTGTCCATTAAGGAATCCTGTAAAAGATTGTATCACTGTTTCTACTAAAATATTAAGCAGCACAGAACAGTAATAATAATAAATGTTTATTGAGCACCAAAATCAGCATATTAGAATGATTTCTGAAGGATCATGTGACACTGAAGACTGCAGTAATGATGCTGCAAAATCAGCTTTGTCATCACAGGAATTAATTGATTATCTTTTCAAATATATTTAAATATAAAGCAGTTATTTTAAATTGTAATAATAATATTTCACAATGTTACAGTGGTTACTGTATTTCTGATTAAATAAATGAAGCTCTGGTGAGCAAAAGAGGCATCTTTTAAAAACAGAAACAAAATAAATCTTACCAACCCCAAACTTTTGAATGTTAGTGTAGATCACTGTTTAAAATGAACACAAAAATATTGTGCCACATTGCATTTGTGTTTGTGGATCATATTCATAGTTAATATGATTAACTTAACAGATTCATCATAGATTAGATAAAGTTTATTATGATTGTATTTTTATGATCAGACCTTTATTTGCATGAATATAAGGTGG